TACATGTAGCCTCTTACCAGTATCAGTCAGCCAAGCATCCTAGACTCGATTGGGATTGGGATTGGATTTAGATTGCAAGGATACCTCCACGATTGCAAGCATGAGTTTGTTTCCATATTTTGCGTGTTTCCACAATTAAAAGAGTGTTGGAGAGCCGATAGAAAACTGATGTCAGTGTTGCGAACACCACTTCTGAAAAAATTGGACACTCACCGAAACGAATTTGACGATACTACCGACACTAGTGGAGAATGTGCTCGCAGCCAAATCTGCTGCAAGAGAGGGTAGACTGCATACTCAGACATTTTTTGCGGCCACCCGCGCGCTCATGGCCGGCTGGGCAAAAACCTTGCCCTGCCATGCTAGCGCGGGCCAGCGACGGTTCCAGCGTGCGCAGCGATCCTGTCACCCGGACAAGCGGGCCAGCCTGTATTTCAGTGTCTCCTTTGTCTTGTTGGCCCGCGCTAGCATAGCAGGGCCTCTAGGGTTGGGTTTGGGCTCGGCTGCACCTATATGCACAAGTCACCTCAAATGTGGATACAACCCATGTGAAATCAAAAATAGTGGAAATCGTTCCTGCTTCACACTACTGATCGAACTACGTGAAAGTATTTGGAACTCTACCAACGGTCAACTCATAAGGAAACCTGTTGTCAGCCTACATGCAAGTGTTACACCTTCTGCAAGCTCCGATGGCATCCCTTTTACTGCGTCGTATGTCACGCGAGTAACTCTTGTGCTTACAACGTGCGTTAATTCATATGGATGAGCGGGTCGCTGTTAATTTCGGCATGCATGTGATGGGTGCGCGGGCCGCCAGTGAAATTATGAGCCTAGACAGGCGCGCGGGCCACCGTCAGCATGGCATCAACTATGTGCGCGGGTCGCCAGCTCGCACCTTAGAGCCGCTGCAGGGCCTGATACATGTAAGGGCTGATATTTAGGTGCCGCTGCTCAAAAGGAAGCCCAGGTGGGCGACCGGGCCACTGCAACAATTGTCTGAGTAACAAAAAATTCTAAAAGCAGATAATTAAGCCACTCAATATTCTCACTGAATTAATGTACCTTTTCAACACCATTCTTCTCTATAAACCCTTCCAGATCTGAGATCTGCGACAGCAACTTGTGTTATGATAGCTTCGAAAATTTGATGGCAGATAAATATTAGCACAGTCTATGTACAATTGCTTTGAATCACCTTGGTCAAAATGAGAATGTAGTATTCCAGGGGTAGTAACCGTGTTACATCCTTAGTATCGGAAGACAATCAATTTCAAGTCTCTATAAAATGTGTAATCATGATCTTCGCAAAATGAATTTGATAGTTCAAAAAAAGCCCACCATCTTGTCAGCTACGCACTTCTTCCTCCACTGATTTCATCCAGCTCATTTCAGCCTCTTCATCGTCGTCAGACATTTCCTCATTTCCTTTCAGACGGCGACATTGGAAGCTGAATGTGAGAAACTTTACGGCTTCAACGAAATCATTGTCACCATCATGCGAGTACGCCCATCGTGAATGTTCTTCATCGGCCGTGTGGGCCCTGCAATGACAATAATCCGAATACCTGCTACTTTTGACTAATATTATATCAAAATGGAGGAGATACATCACGTTTCGAGCAAAAAGAGGTGACAAGAGATTAACCGTCGACCAACAAAACCAAAAGGAAGACGATAAATGGAGCTGACGGTATTTCGAAATCCGCGAATTGGGGCAAAATCGCAGTAAAATCCGGGTACAGTTGATGTCATTTACGTACTCCCTTTCGCATGGGATGTACGCATGCGCAACGCAAACGCCCTGCACGCGGACCTCCAATCGATGAGGCCCGTTTGAATGCCTGAGCCATACGCGCGCGAACGTGGCGCGAAGCTTACTGCGCTTACGGAAAAGTGCTCAGACACTCGCTGTTGACTCGCGCAGCCCAAAGTTTTGTGTAAGCGCTGAATGAAGGCGCGACACAAGTAATCGGCCTCGCGACGAAATCCCGAGACAGCATTATTTGTCGGAACAATGCTGCCCGAGACCACGCTTTGACGCGACCCGCATCTTGCAGGAAATACGCGGCAGCTCGAGGGCGACACATCGTGATGTCCGGATGCAACTGGAGCGCGTTATTTCGCACTAGTAATTTCGCCACATCCCTACTTGCTGTACATTACATCTATGTATATACTTACATGTGTATGTATATATATATACATATATATAAATGTACATATATATATATAAATGTACATATATATATATGTATATATGTACACGTATATATATGAATTCTACAAAGTCTAAACTAACCAATTTATTACTTCTAAAATGACATAAGGATTAATTGGAAACTTCATTAGCACATAGTGAATTTACTTCAATCTTAGGAACATTTCAATGTTTCTAAGATTGAAGTAGTTATGTTAGAGTTATGAGTTAGAGTTAGAGTTATGTTCAATGTAGCCACGCAAGAAAATTCAATAAGAACTTCGGGGGAGTCAAACTACTATGTTTACTATCTTAAAGCTTCACGATATGGAGAAACATGATGAGATAGAGTGTACTTGGTAATCTTCTAAACAATGAGAATCTCGGAATGCAATTAAGTGATACGCAAAAGCGGGAGTAGAGTTAAGGCAAATGGTATGATAGTGATATGTAAGTGCAGCAAATCAAAAAAAGTAGTAGCAGATCGGCTTAAACTCGTCGAGGCTGGTCTTTTCTATTTCCTTGACAGCAGAACAGCTGCTTGCCGTAGTCTCGATCACACGCTTCTTCTGAAAAGAAAGTCATGTCGACGAAGACTGGGATTAAGTGCACTGACATCTTACTTTTGGAGGAAAGAGTTTAGCTCTTACCGGATTCAGTGCATGAGCCCGTACATCTCCCATCTACGTCTCCATCTCCATCATCACGCCTTGAAATACCTTGAATGCCTCAGCTGGTTCCTAAACCAATGTAATTTGAACTCAAATTCCACAATCCCACAATCACGGAGATAGTCGAGCTTCGATTTTTAGAGAAGAAGCTTCAAAATTGGATTTCAAATAAAGTTAATTTTGGATTGGAATGAAATAATCGAAAGAAGAGGGCTTAGGTGGGATGGATGGAATGCACGAATTGAAAATAGGTAGCAAAGAAACCTGGAATGATGCAATATGAGCTGAGATTTGAAATGCGCGTCGTGCGAAAGTGCTCGCTGAGACACTCATCATCTCCCGATTTCCTTTCGCGACCATCCGCAAAAACTGTCAAAATATTGTCTCGCGCATGTCTACGCCCTTCCCCGCGAATCCCTCAAAAAGGGGCGGATCTCCGGCGCGAGTCAACAGCGAGTGTCTGAGGAGCTCGTGATTAACACGGACTTTAAAACTAAATTCATGTCTCCCGCCGGTGCACCGGGTTTTGGTACGATTAGCCATTTTGTGGGCGGTCCACCTGCGGGTGACAACTGCGAATGTCTGAGACATGGGCGCGTAGCTTCTGTGATTTGTTGCAAACCGATCAAGTCCGGCCTTGACAAAGCACTCTGACGACCCATTACAAACAGTCGTTCCAGTGTCAAATCGCGCAGCGACTGAAATCGCGCAAAGGGCCAGGCATACTTCACGCGATCTCAGTCGCGACGCGATTTGGCAGCCTTTTGGTCGCCAGAAGCCTTCAGATCTGCCACTAACAAACTGCATATGTTAGTTTGTGTAACTTACGTGGGTTGATAAAATGCCCTATCTTCTGTACAATTAAAATGTGACAGTGATTTATGGACAGTTGGAATATTGTCAAATCGCGTCGCGACTGAAATCGCGTGAAGTATGCCCGGCCTTTAAGATATGCCATAGCTTAAGCCATAGGGCATTCATATATTCGCGGCAGTGGCTGTGGTTGGGTGCGTACAAACGTCCTTTTTGTGATGAACTTTCACGGCTTTCTTTTTCTTGAATCGTTTTGATATCCGTATAGGCTACTGCGAGGCAAATCTATTCATATATAAAGCTGAGTGTTGGTAAGCTGTTAGTTTAGCATGTTCTTTATAGAAACTTTTGCGTGTTGACCAATCAGCGTGAAACTCCGCACACATATATTTTCGATGCCGGCCCACCCCGTGGTTTATTATTCGCGGCAATATTCCCGCTCCTTTTATTGATTTATCGATTTGAAGAAAAATAAACTTCATCAGTTTCCTATCAAAGCACTTCTAACTTTCGTGTAAACAACAGCGGTAGAACTCATTTCATTCCACGATAAGAGAAGCGATCAAGAGATATCTGCCCTATGTTATACGAAGAAGAGAAGAACGCCAGAACGCCGTAAGTTAAGCCTTTAGAAATGAGCACCAATCTTGCTTTTTATTGGGGCGTTCAAACCCACGGTGCGGGCAAAGACGGCATCCACGCTTTAGGCTGAAATTGGGTTGGAAGTCCGCCTCGCAACAGCTCGCGCCGTTTCGCAGCTACAGTATATCCTATCGTGCTGAGAACCTATGTCCGCGTCTCTTCCATCTCCTTAGTCTTTGCTTGGCAAGATGCCAGCGCTATGCGCTCGCGAAGCCTTTAGCGATGCGCATGCGCTGCTCCACGTAGAATGTCTCGCCTAATCCGGGATGAAACTGACTGTACCAACTAGTGCTCAATATTCTTGGGTGCAAACGCGGCTTTATTAGCCGCAGAGCGCATGGGACGCAGGGCTTACAGCGGTGAAGATAGCGCGCGTCGCGTTCCGGGCTCAAATAATACTGCTTCTGCGCCTTCGTCCTGCAGTAGCTTATACGCTCTTTAGACTTGGAGGGATTGAGCTGAACACTTACAGTCTGCCCTAACTCCAACCAGGCCAAAATTGGCATGACAGGAGTCCGCGTCGCTAGGGTTTCGCGGTTACGCCCCGTCTTCTTTGCTCTCTCTCTCTCTCTCTCTCTCTCTCTTCAATCCTTTTGCTCTCTCCGACGCAAGCATATGCAGCGCAGACTGCTAACGCTGTCAGCGCGCAATTTTAGCCGACGGTTCGGCCTGATCCCGTTTGGAGCAGGCTGTAGTACAACAGTGAATGTGATCTGTTCACTTTCCGTTCTTGGTTTAGCTGGAAGGACCGTAGGCGAATTCTTGACAAGTATGATTTATAGGTTCCTCGTTAGAAAACTAAAGCGCACTGCCCGGACGAGGCGCAAAACCGAAGCCCTGCGCATATCTGTCGCGATTTCAGTCGCCACGCGATTTGGTTACCGGATCTCTTCAAGCCAACACTCACAGACCACAAATGTTTGGTGTATTCAACTTGTGAGTCATAATGTGTGCTATTTTCTGCGAAATTGAATTGAGTTTGCTACGAGTTATAAGCAGCTCGAGTATTGCTGCCAAGTCGCTTGCGACTGAAATCGCGTGAGGTATGCCCGGGGCCTGAGGGCGCGAACGCGGTTTACAAGCCGCACAGCGCATGCAGTGTTTGCAACGGTGAAGATATCATTCATTCTAGACTAGGAAACGCGAGACCGCTTTGCACACATTTTCATCCAAGCCTAATCGTGTACTTAGCAGGTTTGTACTTGTTATTCTCGTCCAGATTTATTCGCTCTTTGGAAACAGGGAAGAACACATTCAAACTTTGTTAAGACAATGTCCGCAATGCGGTCTCGCGTCTCCTAGTCATAAAACAGATGGCATACTATAGTCGCGCCTAGTCTGCGTTTTCAACTACTGGGCCTCGGCCAGCTTTGCTCAAAAGTGCCCAAATTTCTCTAAACTCTCTTTACTTTCTCTCATCTCTCACTACTCGAGAAGGTGAAGAGACATTAGAAAATTTTGGGCGCTAGAGCAAAATCTGGCCGGGGCCTTACTGCTTTCGCATCTTTATCCGGCAGTAGCCCTTAACTTGATTTTACGTTTTCAGATGAAAAGATCTTCTGAGCACACTGTAATCAGGGCCCGGCACAGATCGTCTGGAAGCAGGCTGGACTTCGTTTTTGAAGCAAATAGCAAAGTGGATATCGTTTTCGACGAGTCGGAACCGAACACCAAGAATAAGCGCCATTTAGTCGAACACAAGCTTTTCGGACAGGTTATCACACGATTGACATGCTCTATCGTGTGAGGCGAAAAGTGCGCGCGATTTGAAAGCAAGGCTAAAATAAACAAATTGCTTGTTTACAGCGCACACAGAAGCATGTGACACCAAAATCGAACTGTATGAATAGAAAATTATTTGCAAAAGAATTATGTAAAAAGTTTTGAAAACTTATGTGAAATAATACCTTTTCCAGAATTAGATCGTCTACAGACGGCCAGCAGACGATCTGAGATCGTCTGGAGCATATATTTTCGTCACTTCACATAAGTTTCGGATCTTTTTAGCATGGACGGATTCCCCGGTCAAAAATCTATCCCTGAGCATGAAGACATTTTCATATCATTGCCTTTCCTTTGTTTTTTGCCTTCATTTCTTCTCGCTTTGTTAAATATTGCGCTCTAATGCCAAAATCTTGCGCATGTGTACTATTCAGCTCCAATTTGGATTTTCACTCTTATCTTACGTCTTTTCTTTCAAAATATTAAATTTTTCTTGTTTTCATCTTCTCCTAAGCAGGTAGATCAAAGGGGACTTCGTAAAACTTCCGAAAGTCAGGGTAGCCTTCGTTTTCAGAAACCCTGGAAATCGACTCGTGCCGGGCCCTGACTGTAATCCACCTGAGCGATGCGGAGAAACACTTTCTTATTGATGCTGTCAAACAGCGTGCAGCTCTTTGTAGTGAACAAGAGCCCACGTATAAGAACTTCCATGCTAAAATGGCAGCATGGAGACAAGTGACACATGAAATGAAATTGAAGTTTGGAAAAAAATTCGATGGTGAGTCAGTCTGTGACTGTATGAGTAATACTCAAAGATGTCTTTTTAGCATATTCGCTTCAGAAAACTTTCCGAGAGCTCAGAGATGTAAACATGAGAAAGAGGAACAGAAACCAGAGCAGACCTCGTTACAGAACGGTATCGGGAGAGGAGATCCAGGAAAAAATAGCTCGTGGAGAACGCTTCTGTAATGTCTGCATGGATGTAGAAACCGAAACGGCGGATGTTACAGAAGAACATGATGCAGAACTTGTGGAAGTTATTGTAGTAATCATATTGCAACTTTCAAAAATGAAATTTTTAGACAAGTCAATCCTCTTCTGATACCAGCCTACTTACGGGGCTCGTAGACTGGGACTGTGAGTCAAAAATTCAGAGTGTTTTCTTTAATGTGTTTTCTTTAATTTCATTTTAGCTGTCGGTATCATCTGCTCAATCTTGAAAAGCTTCAAAGCACCCGATACATTCGGTGCAATGGGTCCGTTTCCCTGATAAAGATATATCGCGATGTTTTATCATTTGTTCAGGTCATCTCCTATCGGCCACACTTCGTGAACTAGATGCATTGGATCCTGTTACTGCTGCTGAATTCTCTGTGAAAGTTGCAGAACTGCAACTCGAACTCTCTCGCGCCATATATGAACTGAAGAAGGCACAGAGATATCGTATCCTTTCATAATTCATTCTTGGTTGGTTCTGTTTCGTTTTCCATTATTGTTTTGTTTCTGTACACAGGAGCTTTCGCCTATAATTCATTAGTACTCAGTGCATATAGCATGTTTCTTTTGTTCGTCTAGTTCTGCCAATTTTGGCTCTTCCTGACCCAAGAAATTAGCGAGCGTGAATAAACATTCTAACAGCTCTCCGAAATTATTATACGTTTTGCCGTTCAACTGCTTCCGTACACTTTAATCCAAGAACGTAGCAAAGGCGCGCTCATGAGCTGGCATCTTGCCAATGTATGAACCTGGGAGTCGTGTTGAAGGAAAGTGGAAATCTTGTTCAAACACATCAAAACTAAAAACGTGCCAAATTCTGGACATTTCGACTTCTTTTTCTCTTTCTTGGAGTTTGACTTACAGCACGACATAATGCGGAGATAGAAAAACAGAAAAAAAAAATGGATTCTTCAGTACCACAAAAAGAAGTGCTTGATAGAAAGAAATTCATTTCCCAACATCTGCATGTGTTTTTGTGCAAGACTGTTCATTGAATCAAATGCTCTCTTATCTTTAAAGCTTTGCATGCTGTTAAGCTGTCGGTGATGCCTGTTTTTTACGCCTTACCAGATTTCTTATTGCCAGTTATTTACGCCTGACCAGGCTTTTGATGTCTTTATCAAAACTGTCGGTTTTTACTGTCTCGTCTTCTTCGAAGGTCGTAAATCCACCACATCACAGTAAGTTCGCACCAAAATCATCAAACAAACGGACTAGCTGTAAATTGCAGAGCCAAGCCGCGCGGGCGACGCTTGTATCAGTACAAATCGCTATTGTACAGGCGTGCTCTCGTGAAATTTCAACCGCGCGTGATCCGTAATCCACGGCCAGTCCGTGCGGTCAACAACTCGACGATATAGGCAACTAGTTGGCAAACCCAGCTCCGCCCGGCCCTGTCAATAACATATTTGTAATCAGCATGCTCGATTACCCCCTGTGCCAACTCCCAACTCCGTAGCTCAAATTTTGCAAGAAATCGATAAAATCGAAATCGATTGATACAAAAAGTAGCCTATGACACGCTTTCTGCCCCGTAGTGTATGTGTGCCAAGTTTGGTCCAAATCGGTTCAAAAATAAAAATTTCTATTCCGCACATACGTACAGACATACAGACAGACATTCAGCTTTATATATAAGATTCATCCCATTCAAACACTGCGGACATATCGGCGTCTCTCTAATCGATCGCTCTTTCGTTTCTTTTACCATCTGATGTCTCTCCCATGCACGAACTATACAACCGGGCGCAACGGCGCCCAGTCTTTCCGTGCCACGTTTCGCCCATACTTTGTGACGTTGGTTTAAAGTCAGTTCGTAAAAGCTTCTATCATTAAGAAATCTCTAGAAGTGCATCAGGAAAAGACTCAAAGTACAACGCGTGTTGAAAGCGAGTCTCTTTCACATGGTAAAAAAGTGCGCATCACTTCAGCAATTAGTAGTCGCAGCTGGAACAACTTCCGGGACAAGTGATGACAGGGCAGGTAAATGTCCCAGCAGACAAAATTTTTTATATGCTATCAGGAAAATTCTATTCTATCTGCTAAGAAATCATTGGTGCACTTTATCACACAACGGTGCCATTACGGTAAACGGTGTTTGTCACAGGTAGCCACCAAACAGTATATTCTCTCCAACACATACAAACATGACTAAATCTATGACCTAAACTCGCAATTCGACCTGCACGTCCGTCCGCTCTAGAGCCAAACTGGAATGGCTCAATCAGTGGTGCGCATGTACGTAATCAGGATTGTACGAGTCTGCATGAGGATCAAGTGATGCTTCCATAGACATCATGTCGTCGTAATAAGCCTCTCTATAATAGTACTCGAACCTAAAAATTAGAAAGTATTTGCTTGCACTGCCGGAGTAAGTTCAATCGAGTACATACCACGGCTCTGCAAGGTAGTCTTCATTTCGCCAACTCATCATACCCGCCATTTTATCTCCCTTCTTTCTGATAAATCCATAGCCGTAAGGCGATTTCAGCACCTTGATATGAAGCCTTTTAGCTGGTCAACGACTATGTCTCACAATCCACATTTGAGTAAAATGAAGTGATGCTCAGACAAATCCCTTTTTTCATTATTCTCACCCACAAAACGAAAATATAGAACGATGGAGAGTGTGATGTGTAAGCTGAAGCGTTTATACATTTTCAAGGTGGGTGCCGGTCTCTACTCGGAATAGATCCGTCTCACCAGACTGTGAAAAAGACCATTGACTGCCGCCAGGTATGTGGCATTTATCAAAACACTGTGAAATAACCCCAAAACACAATTTCACGAAAATCCGTGATGTTCGGTTCGTACAGAGTGACTACCGTAATCTTACCGTATACTGCCAAAAACTGACACAAATCATATTTTGATAATCAGCGCCTTCGATAGCCCTTGTGGGGATATTCTCAGAGACATGTTTTGAATTTCTTACAAAAAGACTACCATTTCGAACAATACGACCCACGGGTGGGTCGTAAGTTTGGCAGGGCAAAAAAGGCTCCTGTCCAAAGTGGCAGTAATCGAAAAATCGGCCTTGTCGTCAATGTGTTGAGCAGGCGGATTAAACCGAATAAAAATGAATCTTTGGGCAGTAATTACAGTACTCTCAGATATAATATCGCACACAAAGAGATATTCTTTTGACATTAAAGCTAGCCATTAAACAGACAAAAAAGTTCATTACCTCTTTACGCATGACTTGCATGAAGTGGCCAGCATCGCGTGGGTTAATGTACAATTCTCCAACTTCGTGAGTGGACATTCCATCGAAGGCGTACATTCTAGCGTCAAGTTTTGAAGTTACACTAAAACAAGCATTTGTTAGGTGCGTAATTATTAACCGTCGTCGTGAATGCAAGCCAAGCTGAAAAACTGACTGGTGTCGCCATCCATTCCACCCAACTTCATCAACCAATGTGAACCACTCTTCCATAACGTCACCAGAATGCCACTCAAAGAAATCGAAATCCATCCGCTCAATGTCTTCTACAACTGTGTCGGCATCACCCGGCCGAGTCCAATCGTAGGCAAGGATTTTTGAGTGGCGTCTTGAAAGTATTGATCATCCGTAGATGCCGCCAAAAGAATTTCGTCTAGAAAGCCAGTGCTACCTGTACTCTTTTAGTGAATCCTTATATGAATCTTCAATGGTTTTAAGATATTTCTCATCGACAGCGGCAATTTCGTCAGCCTTAAAAATGCACGTTATGTTATCTGTAAGATTTGATTTTAAAATCAGCTGACATTTCCTCGAGCTTTCACATTCTCCAGGAGCTTGCCGACAGGAGCGTCAAGGTAGACAACCAAATGCGGCCAGAAATGCAGCTGTGGAAGGGCAGCTTTCCGTACATAGTAGTAGTGCTTCAGATCTGGAAGCGAGAAAGCAGTATGAAAACAATTGACGTCAGAAGAAGCGTTTTAAATTGCTGTTCAGCAAGCTTCATAGAGTCAAGTAACAACAGATGAAAGGAAAGCAACCCGAATATCTCACCAGTTTACTTTTTTTCGAATATACTTTCCGAAAAAAAATGTCTGCTGGAATCTAAGGTTCCAACTGAAGTGGTTCATGGCGAAGCAGCAAGCAGAAAATAAATTTCGAACTTGGAGGTATAGAGGATCAGAAGTGTGCGCACACACACACTTTTGATCGCTGATAATTTAGAAAATATAGGAAAGTTGGGTAGCCGTGCTTTCAGGCATACAGATTGAAAAGATAATTTTGGAGCTTTCGAGCTTTTCAAATGGTTTCAGAACATTGGAGAAACATGAAATAACAGTATTGAAGAAATCAAAACTTATGTAAAGCCCAAATCGTATTCAAAGTCGACTCTAATTAGCCTAGTATATCTGAGGCAATATGTGGACACTGGAACTCTCTTCCACGTTCCTACGGTAAGCTTACAGCCACGAAAAGAGAATGGCGCTTCGCTTCATACTATGGGTCTTAAAAAGCTCTAAAATGTGCTTGATGCTCGGCAAGAAACTGCGGGAGAAGTGAAGTATAAAAGTATAAACGACCGAACAGTGTGCACATAGATTGAAATTGATATTTTATATATAGCTAGCGCCGAAATTGTGTGTGTGCATAGTGTGTTGCAAAGTCCAACAGTGTGCACATATTTCTGAATCCTATGAGTAGCCAAGCAGATAAGTAACAAAACAGCGTTAAGATTTTACAACGCATCATACCAAACGGATACACAAAGTTTGGGAAGCGATGTAATTAACAAGAGATAATCAACTGGCAGTCCTCCTGCCGCTTAACTATTTTTAAAAAAATTTAAGATTGCAGAAACTTACATTCGCGTCCCACAAAGTTCTTTGCCCGCATTGCATTCACAAAGACGAAATCGGAATATGGTGTGCGCTCCAAAACTACACCCTGACCTGAAAAAAAAATAGTTTCACTGTATCGTAATCCCTTTTCATGACATTAATAAGTATCGTCAATCTCTTTATGTGACATTAGCAGACCATAGAGCCGCCACTGGTTGAAGATAAAAGATATATGTAACGTAGGTCAACCATATATCTACAGTATACACCAAAAAAGTGGGATTTCGTCAAAACATTGCACATGGAGTATCTCTCTTGATTTGCACATGAAGTATCTCTCTTGAATATCCTTTTTCTACTTCAAATTCTGTGCTTTTAAGTCGCCATGCAATAAAATCAGAAGAAACATCGAAATCAGAAGATCTATGAAATCGAGAAAATAACACTTTTTGTAGAGTGACCAACAAGAGCACAACACACAAACAGTGGGGACATCCACATACCTGTGTTCAATATGTGTGCTACCGCATTTAGATACTGATCAAAGCGACACTCAAAGATTCGCTGCTGCATCTTTGCAGACATGTCGCTCAGTGGATTTTTGTAAAACATCTTCAAATCGGGCATTCGGAAACTTTCTGGGAACTGAAAGATAGAGGAGCATCAAGGTCCACTATCATAGAGGAAAACTTATTACCAGGTGGTAAAAATCCCTAAGGTCATTTCCATAACGATCTATGAGTATATCTTCCATTTTGAATTCCGGCATATAATAGAATCCAAGTTGATCAGCTAACTCTTTCGAAAGTTTGCTCTACAACATGCATATACACTTGTAAGAAAAACTTGCGGTAGTGCGACTAGACAGCAATAAGATGCAAGAAAACATTCAAGCGTAAATCAAGCTCACCTTTCCTACTCCGATATTCCCTTCTACTACGATCAGCTTGGAGTTTTGATGAAAACGAGCTTGAGTTCTATCGCTGAGGGCATCAATGTAGTTATAACCTCTCTCTTTGTATGGCCACGGATCCGGATAATCCGGCGGTAGTCTGGAAAATAGCGCTAGCGACACCGAATTCATCTATGAGGTAACTTGGACACTTTGTCTCAATAGTCAAGCATGAGATTCTATAGGATTTTACCTCAGCACGCTCTTATGTACAATGGTCCTGATCTGTGACGCATTTCCTGGGTTACCGGCAGCCAAGATTCGGCAGGCTGCTCTACCCAGGAACACCACCGACGACTTCATGCCGTCCTGAACAGACATAAGGTCAACATAACAGCTTTCACTGGAGAAAAAAAGGTTCTACTGAGTTGGGGTAAAAATCGTGAGCCTTGAAAAGAAAACCAATTTTGATGTCATATTTTCCAAAGGTGTTTGCCACATTGACATTTTTGAGAAAGCTGGTCTTTAATTGAAGTGCCAAATCAACTCCAGCAATTGAAAAATTCTCAGGGTATTTTTCGAAAACCTCTTACAAAGTTCTGCTTCTCTGGAAAAACCACGCATGCTGCCTTTAAAACCCGTTCCGGCCAAAAAACAGACTTTGAGAATTTGTGCTTGCCCGGACCCACTCGCTATGTTGAATCCGACAATCCACAATGGAAGCGCGAGAACGGCGAAAAATGGCTCTAACTGGAGGAAAATCAACAAGTGGTGATGTCTTTCCATAAATTCACCCAGCTTCCAGAGCAATCTTCTCGGTTCCGATTTTAAATCACGCGTTCGCACTTGGCCGACGGCGATGTTAGGACGACTTGCGGAATCGAGAAGACTGGAAGCTAGGTGAATTTACAGTGGGGAAGACCCTGCCCACTTGCTGATTTCCCTCCTGCGTTAGAGCCCTTTTTCGCCGTTTTTGCTCTCTCCAGTGTGGATTTACGAATTCAGCAAAAAGAATAGGCCCGGTTAAGCACAAAATCTCCAAATCGAGATTTTGCTCAGACACTGCCTTTGATAGACAGACAGCCACGGGACACTTCTTGGAGAGTGGGTGTGGAAAGTCCAAAAAAAGCGAGAAACGGCATGTTGTGGCAAGACGTCTTCTCCTACCCTGTGCCGACTCACAGCTTGCGCTAAACTAAGGGCGATCGATTCCCGACGTAGGTGGCGTAAAGTGCCCATGTAAGCAAGACGTACGCGAGGGTACGAGCTTCGATGATGAAAATGCTCAAAAGTGAAGACAAATTTATAGAATCCCTTGACCCCTATGAGTCCGAAGAAGTAAGAACTCGTGAACTTTGAAATCCACAGCATCGCAAACGATCCCAACAAATTGTGAAACTGGGTAATCGTATGGAATTGTCAAACTCATCAGTTGGCTGTTTTGTGTGTAACTTCTAGTAAAAATTTTAAAGGGATAACTCCATAAAATGGACCAAGTTCACCCTCATATCATGGTTGGCATTGTGAGATAAGTGTAGGAATCGAGCTACCACTGTCGTTAAAATGCAAAATTATATGAAATTTATCATATCAAATAACATCACCACGATGACGTTTTCGCGGATAATATATCCCACAAAACAGTAGAAATCAACAGACGAAGAAAAGTCTCTTATTCAAAGTCAGAACTGATTTCACCGCTATACTATGATGGTGCATACACAATCTAACACATACAAAAAACGTACAGGTAACATCTTCAACAAATCATAAGCAAAAAATCAACCCAGAAAATTTGGATATTTCAAATACAAGTAATAAGGAGACATGACATGACAACCACGTTATCAGGCGGATCGCCATACAATTAACTTAACGAAAATATATCAAGAATATGTATCTAATGTCTGAGTTATCTTCTGTCACGCCCGTAAGGTGGAGGTGGCCCGCGGAATCCACTTCTTCTATCATCTCTTCCATGACCATTCTCTCTTAAATGTCATCAATTACTCCGAAAATTTGTAGAAGCAAAAATATACCTTCTGTCTCTAAATCGGTCGCGATCATAGCCACGATCTCTATGCCCACGATCGCGAGAACGACTACGGTGCCTCGAAGATCCATTTCGATCATGGTCACGGTAGCTATCACGTGTACGTGGTGAGTCGCCTCTGTCCCTATCGCGATCTCGGGGGCCATCTAATGGAGGTAAGCCAAGGGCTTCTCGTTCTTCCATTGCTGCCCTAGACTCTCTCGCTCGACGAGTGTCTCCCTTACCTCCGCCTATAATTAAAATGCATGAATGCTAAAACTATACATTTTCACTGAAGAGCTAACAATCATAGGTCAAGCGCATGACTTTCATCTGGCTTCAGAAAACATTGCTCAAAATGTAGACATACCAAGCCTTCTTGGAAGCCATGACTTCTGTGTGCGTCCTCTTTCGTAATCAACAATCAATCGCCGTCCATCAACTTTTGTTCCATCAGCTCGCTTGTACGCATCTAGAAACAGTTAAGTCCCCCTTTTTCCTGAGTATAAGGTCTTTTACCTGGAGTGGTGGATGTAAAAACTCTCGCAGGGTCGGTGTTTAAGTATGTCCGAATATTTCAGTTATTTAGAAAACAACTTACGCCGCGGTGGTTAGTATTTGAAAAGAACTTACGCAGCAAACTTACGTCCAACTAAACTTACATTGCGCGCACAGTATTGAGAGCCATCGAGGTAGCGCACAGCGAGAAAACTTACCCGTGTGCTTACCCGAATAAGTTAAAAAGTTAGAGAAAAGTCAAGTGGAAACAGTTCGACTACAATAGCCGAGATCTCCCTTTTTTACCGACTACACAATGAATTGAAAGGTTTACCACGGCTCCATACGATCGCTGTTCAATGACGAAGCTCAAATGATGCCCCACCAAATATGATAATAATCACTTAAAATGTATGTCCTAACACCTCACTTACTAAAACGTGAACACCAAACGTCCAAAACTCCTCCGATTTGGGGATTGATTAATGATGGAAGCGAAAGAAGAGGCCATATTACTCATATCAAACAAAATTTACAAAAGAGACTTCCCTTCTTACCCGATAATCAAACAATTCTCAAGCTTCATGTTAATCAAATGAACTTCGTCTTAAACAAACCTATCTTTCAACCAGAAACCAGCGCAAAAGAGCAGAATATGAACATCTGGCGAGGTGCTGTAAGAAAACAGCAATTATTACCGAAAATCAACTTCATCAAAGCCAAGGACGCGCAGTAATTTGCAGGGAACATTGACTATTCGCGGAAAAAAGTTGAAATACAAATTTAATTTTAGCCTATTGAAACTACCCTTACCCAGTGTACTATGCGAAAAGGACAAGGCAGAACGATAAAACTCACTTGACATCTCTGACTTATCACTGTACTCGATGAATGCGTACCCTCGCGGTTTCCCATTGAGATCATGAATCATAGCCAGCTGAATTATCATTTTGAAAGAGTGGATCAAACAAAAATAAAGTAGGACTCACTTTCTTGATTTTTCCATAAGTTTCAAACTCGCGTTTCAGTCTATTTTCCGAGGTCTCGTAATTCTGTAACAAAAATTTCCAGAGATACCATGGGAAACCTAACTAGAAAAACTCACGATCCTAGCAACAAACAATGTTTTGTACGGGTCTTCCGTAGCATTTGGGTTTTCAGCTGGATTCCATTGCGCAATACCTTGTTCCACCTGAAGCATTTGTGAAAGTGAGATTTTGAAAAATATCGCAACATTAGTTCATACACAGACGTCACGACATAAGCTGTTGGGCGAATACAACAAATGTGTGAGATCTACCTTGTAAGCTAGCAGCTCTTCTTTCTCTCTTCTACGTCTCTCTTTTTTCTCAGCTCTTGTCTCGATTATTGGCTTGGGAGGAGTATCCTTGGGGTCCTGAAAGTAATCAAAGTGATTCGATGATTGGGGTTACAGCGGAGCAGTGATAGTTACCCATGACACCAGATGATTTAAACGGCAAAAAACAAATTCATCAGTGATGATAAATAAGACTCTTAAATTTCGGTCTAAGCGACCACTTCATGATAAATTCATTCTCATCTTACTTCCCCTGCGCGATCCCTCCAGTCACTCGTTTTCGTTAATTATACCGAGTATAGTAAAAAAAAACGACCACCGAGGATAGGCAGGTTCCAGATCGCACCGATACCCGTCCAAATCCGCTACAACCTAACAAATGAGGGAAGCGAAGGGATATGCTCAGAGACTGGCATTTTTGGAGGAATACGCGTTGTGGACGTTATGAACGCGTGCTTCAAGTTGCTATTTCCAGACATCTCCTTCTCCCTCATTTGGTAGGTTCCGGCGGGTACAGGCGGATTCCGACTGGCACCAGCGCGGCCTGGATCCTGCCACGGGATTGCGTAAACAAGATACAACATTTACGTACGGCTGGCCTTTGGGTATCACAACTGTCCCTTATACGGGTTTGATTCCAGAATCTCTGATTAGAGTAAAATATCGCGATGCGGTTGCCCTAAATTTGCCTGCAACCGTTTCTCCCATTGCGTTCGTCGCGCCGCCAGTATCCTAATCGAAGCAGGGTTCAATCGGAACGGATCCCAAGCAACTAATAAGCACTATTGGCTCTAGCATTGCTGAACATCGAGCTGTTCATATTCAGGAGTACCTTCTATTTCGAAAAAAAATTGGTACCACTTTGATCACCCAAAATGTCAGACGCTTATTGCAGAGACTCGGAGTTTCAGCGGAGTGATTACGAAAACGAGACTTAGCACTGTAAGGTCTCTCTGACAAGATTCAAGATCTAGCTCAAGGATGAAAACTTCAATACTGCGGAAAACTTGCTCCGGGCCTGATGCACACAAGGCACAAGGTGTCATCAAGTTTGAATATTTAACCCTAACTCCTAAATATCTGTTCATAAGACAAAAAAAACGCAAGCGCAGATGGAGAAATCCAGACTCTTGAATTCTTGGACTCCTCAGCTCCTCATAACTAACCATTACCGTTCAGTGGCGATTTGCATCAAAAAAGCTTACAGGGCAAATATGTACCTCTTCAAAGAGGCCCTCTTTCCTAATGTTTGATCTAAAAAAGCCAACAAGTTGTCACTAACCTCGAAAAGGCCAACGTATTCGGCAATTCCTGTGTACTCGATGCATTTACCCTTCTCCTTCTTGTCGATCAGCAGATCAGTAGGCGGAGGAAGGTAAGGAATAGGTGGTCTGGCTTCAAACAAAGCCAAAAGATTCGGTGGCAAGCACGCGGTCATTTCTGAAATCATTGCGGATAAAGTCCGGATACGGTTGCTTACTGATCTTGGCGTCAGATACGCTGGTAACCGCATAGAATGATTGAGCGATAGACCAAAACAGTAATGAAATTTTTTCCATGGCCAACATTTTGGTGACACCTTCATCAGAGCCCAAGAGTCGAAATTATTCCGGTGTTTGCGGCTTTCCAACTCTCAAAGAAGCTCTCCCACCGATTCCGATCGTGAATAAAGTGCCACTACTACTTTGGCCTATCTCAAGCAGTCTATACGATTATCAACAAAGCTTGCGTAAGGCCTCGGGTAGAGTACGCCATTTCATCGCCTCGCAATTCTTCAGCAAGACAACGATCACGAGTCCACTGTATGCCAATCATCTTGCATTTTGGTTGTGATAGTATTCCGACACGACTATCGTAACTAACTATCACAAACGAAATGCAGAATGATCGGCATGCAATGGACTCGTAAATGTAGTCTTGTTTCAAGAATTGCGCGGCGATAAAACGCGTGAACTCTGCCCGGGCCTAGCAAAATCGTTGACAACCCAAACACACGACGAGACTCGCAGCAAGTAAGCTTTGAAATGAGTTAGAAATTCAATGGAATAACAACCAAACATGCATTCGACATTACCACGTTGAACAAGTGCAGCAGTAATGCAATCGATATATTCGCTGCACACAGACGACGCCAACAGCGGGCACCTGCGTTATTGATCCGCCCCGCGTGCGCGTCCCAGCATCTGCTTTGCGCCAGTTCGCTCGCCTCTTGACGTACTTCTATCGATTCCGTAAGTTCTTCTCACAGTACTCTAACAAGCCATATCCGGTAGCAATGGAGGTATGCTGCCTTTCCTCCTTCGAAGGAAGAGCACATGGAAAAATAGGCCTTCTGTGTGATAGAACTTACACCGAATAAGTTTAATTCAGACATCAAGGAATGCTGGATGGGAATGTAGAACGAGGGATGATTGTAGATGGTGTATACGGCAAGCAGATACTCGACATTGACGGCCCGGTCAGTTGAACTCAAAATTCAGTAGCCTGTCATGGACACGCCGGAACTTCGAAAAACTGTGTCATAACTGGGCAATCCGGCTTGGCTTTTGTCAACCATAAGCACAATGAGCTATTGCGTAGAGGACCCTAGAGAATGACCCTGCTGGAATATATCTCGCGTTTACTGAAAAAAGCGTTGGCATTTCCAAGTATATGGAGTCAAATAAAACTTTGATACGAAAAGAATTACAAGTTTGTATTATCTGCGTTTTTGCCTCATGGGGTCTTTTATTACCTGCTGTAGACAAAACAGTAGACATCAAGCTGAGAAACATTATTAGAGCAAAGAAAAGTCGATTTATAACCCGTTTTCAACATAAGCAACTGACCACACGACTGACGTGCTCAAACACGATTTTGCGCTAAGGCGCGAAATTCAAAAATAAATAAATCCTCACCGGATCATTTGCAACGCAAAGCAAACCATATGACACCAAATTTTGGTGTGTATCGTCACATTGGTTTCCTACAAAGTTGCTATACTGTAACCAAAAAGCTCCAGTTGCTATACTTCAATCAAAAAGCTCCTTTTTATTAGGACCCTTAGGGACCGGCCAGACTATTCGAGGAGGTGATTCCTGCGACTCCTGTAATTCCTGCAATTCTTGTGATTCCTTTACTTCCGATGTACCGCACTACGGAGCGCTTTGCAAATTTTGACATACATTGTTTTTTCGCAATATACATTGTTATGGGACCCGCAGCAATCACAGGAATCGCAGGAATTGCGGGAATCACAGGAGTAGTATGGCCGGTCTCTTATACAAGGTCATGGACTCAAGCAGTCGCTCCGCAGCGTACTATTGAAATTCTGCCGGACTAGAAAATTTTCTTCTTCTCAACTGAACCTGTAGAATCGCCCTTTCGCGAAGGGCTAATCCCGAAAGTTACATTTTTGCTGTTTTTGTCTTCTCCCAGGTGGATGTTCGGAATTAGCGCAGCAGATAAGCTTAAATAGAAGCGAAACCTGGAATTGACCTATATCCCAAATTTTTGCATTCAGGTAAAAAAAAGCGCCTTTTGGTTGAACAGTAAAGTTTAGCTTACTAAAAACGAAACTGTGAGCCTTTGAGCTGTCTGGAAGAGTTGATCTTGGTAATTCCGTTTGCCACTTGCACCGATCCTTGACTCGAAATCCTAATTTAGTAGCAGTGCTCCAAAAACTTTCTTTGGGGAATACATTAGATTTTTTCCGTGCGAAGACGGGAGGTCTTAAATATGGTAGAATAAGATTTTTAGGATGCTTTTCAAGATTTTGAAGGGCTCGTAGCCTTAGAGTTTGCAAAAAAAACGCTAAATTCAATCTTTGCGACTCTTCCCCAATGCCTTGCTGGGGGACCAATCAGCGTTATAGCTACGGTAGTGGGCAAGCTCGGCACACCTATTACGTAGACCGTCAAAAAATTCGTTTGTGCTGTTTGAGGTTAGCATGGTTGCTGCATATGATTTTATATTCCGTGTAGGAGCTGCTAGAGGATGTCGGAGAATTTGACGAGTCCGTTGAACAGACTTTGCAAGATGCGTATGGAGAAGAGGGTGAAGACGAAAGGACAGGTGATGATCCGTATGGCGGTATGCCTCTCGATTTATATGAGAATATTGTTGAGTTCAAAAGGTGTGCATCTTACGTTCAACGGCCCAAAAAATATTTTTTTTTCTCTTGTAGAAGTGGTACATATCCAACGTTCATCGACTCTCGACATGATCGCAGTGCTCTGAGCCACTGGAGGTAATTCTGAACAGTCCATCATCTCTAATTCTTGAAATAACCTTTGCAGAGCAAGATGCCTTCGTTTCGTGTTGGCTGATGATAATGAGACGCTACTTTACTACAATCCCTCAAGTAGTGTTAACGACCAACCAAAGGTTGTCGTTAAAAAAGGCGAAGTACGCCGGGTTATTGAAAGGATACATGATCTGATTGGACATCTTGGACAGAAGCGTACGTAAGTATGGAAAAGTTTGTCCGCTGACGGTCCATAGCCGTGTATTTTTTTGCTAAATAAAACTTTGTTTCAAACCATACAGGCCGAGAATGAAGCGTAAAATCATGGCTAAATCATATTTTTCGCAAAGTAGATCCCTCTTTTTTCACAACATGTAGTCGTTTTTCTCTCAAATGCAGTGTTCTGGTTGTCGATTTAGGTAATATGAAGTTGGGTCAGAAATATTGTGATTAATGATCCAGCAGCAGTCTATAAAATCTCTTCAAAAAGTAATCTAACCGCCGTCATGCAATCTGGGTGTCTTCTCAGATAATCGCCGGGGCAGGCGGTCCGCAAACTCGCGCTTTTCTGCAAGCGGTCAGCAGAATTTTAGGGCGTGGCCAAACCTTCAGCGAGCGGTACTTCCTGTACTGTCTAATGTTCTGCCAGCTGGCAGCAACACAGAATTTTCTGCAGGCGCTCGTCAAATAATCTCTTTCAGCAAACGATGTCCGAATTTTCAGCAGGCGCTCGGACTCTTTTTACGCAGTTTCGGGCTTACGTGGAGCACAGATAAGACTCTGTGTGGCAGAGGTGTCACCGTTGGTTTAATTACTCAAGTTTGAGGTACCTTCTCTCAACGGAAAGTACCTGGGAGCTGCGCGGTCCTCCACAAAGGACCGTGCGGCCCTCAGAAATTTTGCATATTCTCGCGGGAAATCCGCGAGAATGCGGCCACTGCGCCGCAGCTAATCTATTAGGTTTCGAAAGTTCTTGCGTAATTCAAACAAAATTCAATAACTTTTCAATGACTAAACCTAAATTCACAATCTTGTCCTCTAAAAATATTAGAAAGCCTGCGCTCCATGACGGATGTTCAAAGGCAGTGGATCGGCAAAATCCAACAACTCGGGATTTTAACGCGGTAGGTTCCTTATCGCCCAACTATGAAAACAGTGCAATCCCGGTTGCACCGCATGCTTTCCCTGCCGAAAAAATCGCTCTCGAACTTACACGCGCAGGCCAATCTTACACGCAGCCGGACGAGTTGGCAATTTCCTTCTCACCATTGGAGGCTGCCCGCCGCAACGTAACCATTGGGTCCTGCCACGATTTAGCGTCATCGGCCTTGCTCCACTCGTCCAATATCAAAGGGAAGGGCATTAAAAAACGCTCATTTTCGCCGTTTTCAAGCTTTCAAAAGTGAATTTTCGGGAACAGCGTATTGAAAAACTCCAGTTAAGCGCAAATTTGACTAGGTTGAGATTTGCCGAGCCACTGCCTTTAAAAGCAGTGTCCGGACAAAAACTCAATTTTGAGATTTTGTGCTTACCCGGGCCTATTCGCTATGCTGAATCCGAAAATGTGCATTGGAGAGCGCGAAAAAGGACTCTTACGCAGGAGGGAAATCAGAAGTGGGCGGAGTCTTCCCCACTGTGAATTTTGAGGTCTCGGCTTCTGAAGCGAAATTCTCAACTTCGCTAGCTCTCTGAGATCTCCACAGGCCAGGTGCAATCGCATGACTTGAAATCGGGACCGAGAAGATCGCTCCGGAAGCTTGGAGCGTGAATCCGCGGTGGGGAAGACCCCGCCCACTTCCGATTTCCCTCCTGCGTTAGAGTTCTTTTTCACCGTTCTCGCGCTTTCTAATGTGGATTTTCGGACTCAGCATAGCGAATAGGACCGGGTAAGCACAAAATATCAAAATCGACTTTTTGCCCGGACACTGCCTTTAAGCGCAAGATTTCATGAGCTAGCCCCCGAGAACGAAGCTCTCAGATATGGGACATCAAAATTTGCAATTTGAGTTTGATGTCAGAAAATCGCAGAGTGCCGCTAGCTAGCCGAAAAAAATCTGTAAAAATTACTTACACTGCAGAAGTCCATACGTTATTTTAGCAGGCTTTAATCTTGCATGGAAATGCGAAAACAAAAAATTTGTGGAATTTGTCATTTTGCAGGATAAATCCCTTTATCGATGTAATTTTTCTACAAAAACACAGTTTGCAGCCAGAGATAAGACATATTGCGTATTTAGAACCTTGCGACGTTTTTTGGAGTGTAAAAAATTGTTTTTGCCGAAAAATGCGGTAATGAGTGGATTTTCCGGAAAGTGAATATCTCACGAATTTTTTGTTTTTGCTTCACCGTGTAAGATCAAAGCCTTCCAAAGTAACTTATGGACTTTTGCAGTGTAAGTAATTTTTACAGATTTTTTTTCGGCTAGCTAGCGGCATTTTCTGACACCAAACTCAAAATTGCAAATTTTGAAGTCCCGTATTTGAGAGCTTCGTTCTCGGGGGCTAGCTCATGAAATCTTGCGCTCAAACATCCATCATGGAGCGCAGGCTTTCTAATATTTTTAGAGGACAATAATGTGAATTTACGTTTAGTCATTAAAAAGTTATTGAATTTTGTTTGAATTACGCAAGAACTTTCGAGCCAGCCTAATATAAGGAAACAGCGATTGTTCTCCAAGCATTCGTCTAAAATTTCGCTAAAATTTGTTTAAATATGTGCAAACGGACCGCAAGAAAATTATTTTTCCGGTGCCCGCCCGCCCATAAATCGCAAGGCCGCCTGCCCCCGGCGATTATCATTATCTGAGTTGGGTAATCATCTCGAAAGTGACTGAGTCATCACTTCCCATCTATTTGTGTATGTTCTGTCTTCACTTCTTTGCGGGCAGTAGTGATTGAGAGAATCATCACATCCCTTCTATTGATTTATCTTCGTCTTTTCTTGGATTTTTCTTTCTTCTGCGCCTTGCTTCTCTCAAATTGTGTTAGATTCACGCTTCTATACTCTTTGAAGTTCAAAGTAATCAAGAATAGGTTGGTGCTTAAATCTTGCACCAAAATATTTTCAAGATCGTAATTATTTCTTCAACAATCTGTTAATTTGATACACATTAGAGAAAGAAAAACTTGCTGTCAGGGGTGGGCAAATCAGAATGTCATAACGCAGCAAGCGGATTAAATAAAACTCTTAAATTAGTTTTGAATTTTGGTCACTGAAATTGATACGTCTACTGAATGTGGAGCACAAACAGTGACAGCTTTAAAATCTTCTATGTAAGCTTTAATCTACATCAACACAGTTCGCAGAAAGTTTCATTTATTTCCATCTCAATGTTCATCCTTTTCTCCAGAACATACATACAGAAGCTATTACTATTTATTTCCTTTACTTCTCTTAAACATCGCTTCCCTTTTGACTTTTCTCTCAATTTTGGTTTCCAATTCATCTTTTTCATAATTTTGAATCAATCGCTTGTCATTTTTTCGTAGATTTCCGTAAGTTCGTAGGTATCTTATTTTGTAGAATGATGACCAGAAGATGCAGCCATTACCAAAAAACAGCGCGTCTTACTAAAATGTGTAGATGGATCCAGATCATTATTTTTTGAAAAATCCGCTGCTCCAATTTGGTATTGTTCGACATCCCCTTGGTGCTTTTGAACCTTTTCTTTTCTCTCTTCCTCTTTTCATATGTTCAGACTAGTTGTCTCGAAAATTTCGTCCGTTTTTTTTATCGTTCATCGAGATTCTCAGAGCAATGCCCGGCGAAGGATAGATACCATTTGATCGAAAAATTTTTTCCTTCAAAACGGCTACATCTTTCCTTTGATTTGAACGCCGTGTTGCGGACGTTTTGTCATGTTTCTTCAAGCAATCGTATGAAACGCTAAGTTCTTTTGATTGGAGAAAATTAATTTCCGCATTTCTAGAGAGCGATAGGATATCTTTTGCTACACTTCATCTCAAATTACCTAGTTCGAGTTCCTGAAATCCAAGCCTGTTTTTCAAACAAATCACAGCTTCCTGACTACGCGTAATGCGGGATCCTATGGAAGCATAAAAAAGCTGTATCAAAGTATTTTGAGGCAAGTCATTCCTATGTATTCTGCAATGAGGAGGAACAAAATTTTGCCAAGCTTGGTATGCTGTCTGTTTTTAGCTGCAGTCGTGTTTCTCGATTTTTGTCCAAAATTGAGATCTTGAGGGAAATAATTCTGCAAAACTCCACGCAGCACATCACAATTAATCAAATCACAGCTTCCTTCAAATGTCTCCTATAACCCATGATGTGCTTTATATGCCTGATTATTCACTGAGAGTCTCGTACAGCCCAGATTCTATTTTTCTGACATCTTGTTTTTCGAAAAGGAAAATAAAAACTTTAGAAAATTTGCGGAAGTTAGAACGGATAAAAAATAATGGTGAACCATTCTCCTGGAAACTTTGTGGAAGTTTTAGTTTTGGCACACAGGCATACTGCCTTAAATGCTTTTTGAACGCTATCGGGCCGTAATCTACGACTTGCTTTTCTTTGTCTTATTTATATACAATTTAAACTTTGAATGTTATATGTGGTGACGTGTCGCTGCACTAAGACCTAGATTTTCTCCTTTCCCATATAGTTGTTGAAGATAGTGCTTTAGCCAAATTGTCGTTCTGAAGAAACTTCACTGGCGATCTGTGCGGCAAGATGTGAAGACATTTATCAATAGTTGCGCATTCTGCAATCAGAAAAAGCTTGAAGGAAAGAAGATATTGAAGGCTCCAGTGGATGTCACGAGTGAGTACGCATTTCGACTCTATTTTTGCTTATGATGTAAAGAAAAGATACAATCACATCAAACTGTTACAAGCTCTATATTAGTGTAGCCTTGTCTTTCCTGATAATTGCAGAATCAGCGCTTTTGCATGCTAAAAAGAATTTGATTTTTCAATAATCAGGTTTTGCAGGTGATAATTTCGACCTCACTATTGAAGTGCGAAGTAAACCGTTGCAGAATGGAGAGCTGTACGATCGGCTGACTTTTAATCTTATCGGGTAAAGAAGATTTTGTGGAATTTTCGCTTGTTCTCGAAGGAAAACAAAAACAAAAGATAAACAAACTATATGTGCACCTTTGTAGGTACAACGAGCAAGAAGTTCGCGCTGCAGCAGTGACACGAATGACAGCATACACATTCAAAGAAACAGCCAGTGAACTACGTGGACGATTTGCGCGACCTGGCTCGGTTAGCCCAGTTTTTCTCTGCCAACAGTGGCGATATTGGTGGCCCGAGAAAATTTTTATGGGGGCGGGGGGGGGGGGGGGAGCTACTGGGATGACAGTAATTTGTTTTGAAGGGGGCACCATGCTCTATCCATGTCCTCCGAAAGATTTATTGGGACTAATTTTTTCGGGCCTATAATTCAACAAAGAAACATTTTTAACCCAAATATAATACATTATTATTATTTGATTTACTTCACTAGAATTTATTGATAAAGTTAGCCCAGCAGTAACCAGTATTCTGTGGAGGTAGCATCTATCTCTTCTGAGTAAGCCTCCTTTTCAACCTAACGTTTATACCTCCAAAAAGGCTACCTTCTATTCACAGGGTTCAGTAAAATACCCGTTTCACGAATTCGCAACTTCTAAACACTGTTGCGCTCACGTCTTTGCTTGAGAATCACCATTGTCAAAAACTTCTCTAATCACCAATTCTTTTCGACTTCGCGCTGCGAGGGCTAAACCAAAATATTCTTGAATGTGATATATTAAGCAGTGTTGTTCCAGGCTGGCACTTCGAATTTTCGCCGGCAGCCGTACATAAAAAGAACTCGCTATTCTCCGTATGCTTCTGGGTTTATTGTTCCATACGCGGGAAAGCATAAAAATGATGTGAGATTTTTTCTGGTTGATGCCAGTCTAACAGTCCTTGTATGAGCAGGATTTTAGGAACCAGGATTTATCGAAGTCTTTCAAGACGAACGAGATCCTGCCCTTTCCTCTTCTTACAGCGGGCAAATCTACCAAGCTGACGAGTTCGTATCATATCTGCCATGCCTCTTACTGATAGTTATTTCTTTCAATTTAGCGCGTCAGAAAACCATCACATTGAGGGCTCAGATGTTCAACAGAATGCCCCAGTTAGCATGTCATCGCAATCTGCTGATTCAGTGAAAACAGAAGCTGCAAGTGTAAACTCGCAGCAAATGCCGTCAACTTCAAGAAGAGGTAGAGTCTAGAATTCTCGACTGTGGAAAATCAACCTAGGCTGCATCAATTTTTGTTGAGCCTAGCCTTCACTGTATAATATGTAGGCACCAGTCCGAAGCGCCGCTTCGCGGCGCTTCGGACTGGCTATATGTGTAGAGTGAGATGTGAATGTCAAAGTTAGAACGTGGAACTTTTCTTCGCCAAAAATATGGCACGGATTTTTCAGACGTTTTAGCGTGATCATCTTTTGACAAACTGTAACTGCAAAGTTGCTCATTCACACATTTTGGGAAAATTCTCCGATACCCTCAAATTGTCACATTCAGAAATTTTCTGACCGAAGTGGCCGTCACAAACTCGGCAAGCTTTTCCCAGCTATCACTCTCTTGACTATTTTCACCCAGAGCCCTTTCATCGCCTGTCCCTACGAACTACTTTAATATTTGACTCCCTTTGAATCAGGCTCTAATGAAAATTTGGGTTGAGGAAGCTACGTCCTCGGTCATGGTCGAACACCGCTGCGGCTCTGGCCAACATTCCAACTTATAATTATAAAATTTTCTAAATCAATAAACATCCCTTCCTCCTTACAAAATATGCTTTGTTAGAAGGTGCGCAAACTCTTTCCACTTCAAAAATTCTAATACGAAATCCCGTTCGTATTCTATATGGAATTTTTAAGTTGTTCAACACTTACGAAATTCTACCCACCTCTGAGTCCACCCCAATTTCCAGCTCATCTTGGTAGCCTCTGACTCAAATTCTACTAAGACAGCTACTATTAGAGTGTATATCTAATTTCAGCCGTTCACCCAAGCAAATCGTTAGCGTTTATACGATTCTGAGGTTGTGCATCTCTTTTGCTCACTTGATACACTGATAGCAAACAGAGAGCATGTAATTCTTTTTAAACTTCTATCACGATCGTCGTGAGTTTTTTTACAGTATTTCTGAAATTTTCGGTCTTTTGAGAAAAATGCGAAATTCTAAGTTGAAGTCTTCTGTTAAAACCTACAATTTAGTTACTAAGGAGCTTTTTGCATCCAGTGTAGAGTTTCAAGACTTCGCATCATCATGTTTTTATCACTTAGTGGACAGCATTTGAAAAGTTTACACAATATTGAAATGTTAAGTGAATAAAATCAAAGACTTTCGAAAAGCAGACCTTATCGCGCTTGCACGTGAGCTGAAAAATTGCACTGTTTTCTTATGGTGTTCAGTAGTTCGAGTTCATACATAATATCATACATCCATGTAAAATAAAAAACCTACCACAGTTTTTTGAAACAATTCTCGATAAGATATCTAGCTTCCTGCGAACCATGCAATGTTAGGCAAAACAGTTCTACATCTTTCCGTCTTCTTTGATGACACCGATATTACCACATTGCCTAACATAGACGATATGGAGTTCATGAAAAGTACTTGGAAAACTTCGATATTGTTCTCTCTACATTGGATCAGGCATATTACAAAAGAGGCTTTCTCTATTTCCCTATTCTTTTGTGCAAATCTTACAGATATGCCACTACAACATCTGACTTCAAGTAATCTCAATAGTTACACAATTACATCAACTTATGTTTATAAAGGAGCTTTTCGACAGTGAGGCGGTAAAAATTGCAATAAAAAAAGTTCGCAAGCTTCTCAGAGATATTAATCAGTCAGTGAGATGTTCATGACAATAATTCTGTACAAAATGACGCTCATGAATTAACGCCTTCTTGCTCGCAAAATATTCAGCTACTTTCAGGGCTAAAAATAGCGTAACAAAATAATCAAGTAATTTCGGATCACCTCGATGTTACTACCTCCCCTGCTTTTTAGACTTTGTTTTGAGTTTATCAAGAAATACTTAAAAAAAGGGAAGAAACATTGATGGATTCCTTTATATTGACACAAATGCAACGTTTACAAATAGTAGATGGTATGCCAGGTGCATGTTTGACATTGCGAAGGAGAAATTTTCGGCGTTGAAATTAGACAATATGTGTTGCAAAAAAAGTCCGTCTCAAATTTTCAGGTACTATTTCACATGACAGCAGTTAGACTTCCAGAATATTTTTCTATGACATTTTGGTGCCAACTATTGCCTTTTCATAAGACGTTCCAGTTTCGTCCAAATTAGGTGCAGAATTGCTGAATGAAATAAATTGCGCGCTTCTTGGTTCTTTCATCTATATTTAGACCTATGTCACAACTACCGCAGTTTTTTAGGCAATTATACTGATGTATGATTCATATGTAAATACATGTTGATTTGCAAAGAAATCTTTCCGACATAGTTTATTTTGTTACAAAATCGCACAAAGCATAGGCCTTTTTTGGATGGCTTCAAAGCTAGATAGATTGCAACCCAATCGCGCTTGCTATTGTCCAGTATGTGCTAACGTATAATTTTTTTCAAGAAGGTTCGATTTTCACAGCAAGTTCAAGGATTTTTTCATGTGAAGATACGTTCAGCATGCCACATTCGCTTCTTTTGCTCCATTCTTGTGGAAGGTTTTTTCAAAGTAAATTTTGAAATTTTTCCATAAGGTACGTTTGGTGATGAAGACAATAATGAAATGGTGCACAGAACGAAAACGCAAAATGAGTGGCATGATTTTGCTTGTTTTGGGGATTCAATTTTGAGAGTAAATTTTGGTTTTGCACGTGAAGATACGTTTAGTGATAAAAACAATGATGATGTGGTACACCAATCAAGAAAGAACTGAGGAGATGTAATGCAGATATTAATGTTAAGTATTATCACCAACCTGAAGATGCTGTCCGCAGTTTGTTTGCTTGAGCAAATGAAGCAAAATGTAAAGCGGTTGAAATAAATCGACCGCCAACAGCGTTGTAGGCGACGGAATTGGGGTTGTACTTAGCTTGACGTCGTGATAAACATCACCGAAGCAGACGGAACACCGAAGATGGCACAAAACATCATACCATTGATGACTCCATAGGTTGCACTTAGGTTGAGTCGTAACGGTAAACAGTATGGAAGCGGGCGAAAGTGCAAGAATTAACTCAGAGATCTGGACAAACATCCTTCGCCGGTTGTTGACGTCGGATGGTCCCCCCTGCGCTTTATTATAGGGTACCAGACCAAAGTGCCGCTTCGCGGCACTTTGGTCTGGTAAGTGGGTGTGGGCAATGTCTAAGAGGTACATACTGTCTTGATTGGATGTTTCATTTTCATCACATTTTATTGAAAAGGAATTCTGCTATAGTTTAGAAGGGAACGCTTTATGACAAAATGAACCATGGTTCAAGTGAATCAAGGGTTTGTAATTTATCTGACTGCAACATTAATAATTTTCAAGTTTCGGGAAAAGCTTGTAATCTGCTTCACATAATTGAATTTTATGTGTTATGGTACAAAACAGTACTCTTTGCTGAAGTCTACAACAGTGAGATAGCGTGAGCGAAGACACGGAGAAAAGTTTCGATTTTAATGTGGTTTTCTGATATATATGCACTATAATGGAGTATCAGGCATTAGGCAAAAAGCATTCAGTACGAAGATTCATGTACAAATGGAAACAAATCTCTCAGTAAAGTTCAGCAGTGAGATCTTCAATGATTGAGCTCTTGATAGGGAAAGACAGCTATACGAGTCAAATTTTCTCCAGTCACATTGTAGATTAGAAGAACAAAATTACTAATTTTGAACCATTGGCCTAAGGTATGATTCCTAAAAGGCGAGTGTTGGAATGTTACGACGATGTGTGATGTAAAAAAGAAGATGAGAACGCATTACCTCTGTTTAATTAGTCATAGGAATTTAGAGCACCGCTTTGATCACAATGTTTCTTACTCTCGTACCGTTTTTGAGCACTTTTACACCTTCTCTTGTTCGCGCTCGTGAGGGAGTAACATAGAGCTGCCCATGAGAAAAGACTTCAGTTCCGATATGAATTCCTACATTCGATTCTGGCCTTGAGCCTTGTTGATGGTCATAGCAAAAGCAAGTCGAAGGGGAAATTGCCGTTGCCGAACTCGAACAGGAACGCCTTTATCAGTAAAAGTGAAATTGGCAGAGATTGTGAAAATTACAGATTGATTTGATTTTGGAAAGGTTGAGGAAAATCACAAAACTGGATTGTTTTGTAGCAGAAAATTGCAGCTCAATATTTTGTGTTTTAGAAAGCGAATGGTAGTGATGAGTAGATACGAAGTCGATCTCTTGGGAAACAAACCCAAAGAGAGAGGCAATATAGGATTATTCATAACAATGTCGGCTGAGATTGTGAAAACTACAGATTGATGTGATTTTGGAATGAGAAATCAAAAGCTTCTTAATTCGAAAGGTGATGGTCGCTTGAGAAGCACTTTAGACTAAACTGCAACTTTCTATAGAAGAATTATACAGAGTGTCCCAAAAAGATGTATCGAACGTTTCTTCAATAACTTCCTTTGAAAATCTTCTGCGGATCTTTGGGTGTCATATGGTAGAGCTGGGTTTAACTTAGATTTACAGTATGGAGCGAATCACCGATTTCTCTTATTTACTGTAGGATTACGGTGAGAATTTTCGACTGAGTTTGAGCTTCTGCCAAGCGAGAACTGCTTCTAAAAAATTCCAAAAAACCGAAGGACATTAAACTGAGGTTCTTCTTAGAAAATGCTAAGTGAGGGGGACTGATAGCTGACCTGTTCCGATGACTCGAGTAGAGATGCTGCTGCAATCGAAAATAGAGACGTCGTATTATGACAGCGGTAACATCGATGACAGAATCAATCGATGTTACCGCTTACAGCTTTTAACTTTTTCGAGATTGCACTTTGGAGGTTAGGGTTTTCATCAACATCGTCTAGATCGGACATCACTGGCATAATGATGAGTCATCAACCCTGTAAGCCTGCAGCGGCATGTTACCGCTTACAGCTTTTAACTTTTTGCAGACTGCACTTTGGAGGTTAGGTCATCAACATCGTCTAGGTCGGACATCACTGGCGTAGTGATGAGTCATGAACCCTGCAGCGGCACGCAACGACAAACCTGTTGACATCTCACGAGGGGGGGGGGAATGCTTCAGAGAGACACCGTGCGCTTTATTATATAGAGAGATGATTCCTATAGGTAGCATTGGAGTAGTAACACACTCCTAGTAGGCGAAGGATAGTCTATAATCAAAAAAATGACAGTTATTTGCCTCGGAAAGGGGAAGTGATGGCTATCAGTCATATTTATTAATGGCTTCAGAAACGTTTGCTTCCGAAAAAGATTACTGGATTTTAGAGAATTGGGAGACATGAATGACGTTGCGCACCTTTGTTAAGAGGATTTTTTTCTGCCGTTTCGCCATAATTACTCGATTCTAATTATTCATAGGTTGCTATGTTTTGGGATGAAAGTTCTATTGCTTTTCCATAGCTTTCTTCATTCGCAGCAAACATACTTGCTTTGTCTCATAAAAGCAGTTTATAAAGAACTAGCTGGCTTACCCGGCTCCGCCTTATCCGGACCAAACTTGGCACACATACACTTCGGGCCCCGGCGGGTGTCACAGTCCACTTTTCGTTATCGATCGATGTCGATTTTACCGATTTTTATCGTTTTGCAGAATTCACCCACGGGGCTGGGAGTTGGCACAGGGGGGGGGGGGAAGTGAGCATGGGGATTCCGAATACAATATTAGTTTTCAGGATCGTCCATTACTTTTATCGATTTTATCGATTTTTTTGTAAAGTTTGACCTGCGGGGCTGGGAGTTTGCACAGGGGGTAATCGAGCATGCAGATTACGAATACAATATTAGTTTTCAAGATCGTCCATTACGATTTTATCGATTTTTTGAAAATTTGAGCTAGGGGCTGAAATTTGGCACAGGGGTGTAATCGAGCATGCTGATCACCCCCCTTGGGGATGATCAGCATGCTCGATTACCCCCCTGTGCCAACTCCCAGCCCCCTAGCTCAAACTTTGCAAAAAATCGATAAAATCGATAAAAGTAATCGATAATCCCGAAAACCAATATTGTATTCGGAATCCCCATGCTCGATTACCCCCCTGTGCGAACTCCCAGCCCCGTAGCTCAAACTTTGCAAAAAAATCGATAAAATCGATAAAAGTAATCGATAATCCTGAAAACCAATATTGTATTCGGAATCCCCATGCTCGATTACCCCCCTGTGCCAACTCCCAGCCCCGTAGCTCAAATTTTGCAAAAAAATCGATAAAATCTATAAAAGTAATCGATAATCCTGAAAACCAATATTGTATTCGGAATCCCCATGCTCGATTACCCCCCTGTGCCAACTCCCAGCCCCGTAGCTCAAACTTTGCAAAAAAATCGATAAAATCTATAAAAGTAATCGATAATCCTGAAAACCAATATTGTATTCGGAATCCCCATGCTCGATTACCCCCCTGTGCCAACTCCCAGCCCCGTGGGTGAACTCTGCAAAAAAATCGATAAAAATCGATAAAATCGATATCGATCGATGACGAAAAGTGGACTGTGACACCCGCCGGGGACCGAAGTGTATGTGTGCCAAGTTTGGTCCGGATCGGTTCAGAAATGGAATTTTCTATTCGGAACATACGTACACACATACATACATACATACATACATACATACATACAGACAAACAGACATTCAGCTTTATATATAAGAATATGCGCGCAAATTTTTTAGAGACACTTTAGGGAGTGAAGCTTTGACGGGTCATGTGCGTTATGCAAATGTCCTCAGAAAGATCGCAAAATTTTAGAGTTTTGATGGCTAGCCAAAATTTTTGTGTTATAATATCCTAGCACAGTGTGAATCGTACACTTCCATGTCCATGTCTCTTGAACATGGCATCGCGAAAGTAGGGGAATTAAAAAACGTCTTTTAAAGAAAAAATTACTTTCGCAGTTTTCTTTGCAAGCTCATAGTCTGACACTGAAATTGTGACATAAAAGTTATCAAGAATGTTTCATTATATCGAAATTCACGGTTTGTTTATTGTAAATGCAATAATACGAAGTTTTCATGTAATTCTTATCTCATACTCGGTATCGAAGCTTGACACGCTTCAGAGTTACTGCTTTCCTAATTAGGATAATTTAAAAATTTCTGCGATTCACTGCAAGGCAGAATTTGGCTTGAAAATTTCAATTTTTTACAACCACTCCCTTTTCGAATGACGAACGTTCTCAGTATGCTTCGGGACTTAGCTAGTTTTCCCTGTGATATGGGATAAATCACAAATTCAGTGGATTTGAAACATGATATTTATCATCTGAATAAATGAAACCCAGATCTCCTATCCACGCCAAGATTGGCTACTTTCAATGGAGCACGGCAAAAGAAGAGTTCGAAGTCTTTGGGTAATCTAGGACTTGCAACCCGATTCAACCTAGCGGTGGGATCAAATACGGACAGACCAGGTAAATCTTTAGTATTTATAAAAAGGGGAAAAATTCTTGACATTCTCACAGATGGGCGTCAGAATAAAAAAAAAATTTTTTTTTGAGAAAAAGAGGGATATCGTTTACAGATGCTGACAACGTTGAGATGTTGCTGCCATCATTTGAATCGGTTAATAGCCGTCCTGAAATGACATCATTACCTCCTGTTATGCTAATGCCATCTGTTGATCCAGAAGTTATTCATTTGCAAAAGGAGGTTAATTTTTCAATTTACGTACTCTCTTTACTGCCCTTGAAAAAAGTTCGATCTCGATTAGCTGCTGCTGAGACAATTGCGGCTACAAAGAATGCAAGAGAAAGTGTTACAAGCGCAGTTCAACACCATCCGTCTTCCAATAGCAAGGTAGTTTCAAAGTGATCAGATCTTAATTGTAAACATATTGTTTCTCAGAGTGAATTTGCTTTTCGTTTTCAAATATCAAGTTAGTAAAATTGAAGCACATGCGCTTTTCCAGATATGAAGAAATTGATCCTGACGGTGGTCAAGTTCAAATACTTGGAGAAGATGGAGATGAAGAATTTATTGGAGTAAGTTGTCCCTCGAATACTTATAGACAGGGTTGAGCAAGAGGCCAGGCACAAGTCCTTCAAAAACGACCCCCCTCCCCTTGTGGAAGCCCCTAAACGACCCTCCGTTTCACCTCCAAGTCCTCAGGGTGTTATATTTTAAAGAAGACCAGCCTTTACTGCAAGTTTCTATTTTTTGAAAGTCTGTAGGCCCGACTTTCTGCGATTGCACAACAACACGCAACTTGACGGCAAGTTCTAGATCTGGATAGTCCTCTTTTCAGAGCTATAATTTTCACAAGGGTGGAATGTTTGGCTTCAAATTTTCAATATAGCAAGAAGAGGCTTTGTGCTCAATTCTCATACCAAAAAAGGGGCGATTTTTGAATATTGAAGGCAAGTTAAGAGGGTCAGGCGCAACCCCTCAAAAGCTCAGGCGGCCTGACCTTTTGAGGGGTTGCGCCTGACCCCATCAACTTTGTTTCCGAAAATGCTTTTCTATCCAAGTTTTATGTGATTCGCTAGCTCAATCCTCGAAGATTCCACAGTAAGTATTTGAGCTTGATTCGACTTGTTTCAGCCTTGTGCTAATCCGAGAAGTTGAAGCACTCAACGTGGAAAATGCGCCGGTTAGAATTTTGGCAGCACTTCTTACGTCACTGTTTGAAGGCGATATGAAGTCCGATTTGTAGCATAGATTTGGAGAGAACATCACTTTGTTATGAGTATACAAAAGCTGACTTTTCTCACTTCTGAAACCAAGTTGATCACGTTTGAAAATCACGCTGTTTAGGCGTTGAGAAACATTAGAAACTGCAGTACGTAATGGTTTGTAGAGCGCATACAGGTAATTTGACATGCTGATTATGGAAATGATACCCATTTCACACAGCAAGCTTGTTTACCTCATATGTCAAGGTAAAAGAGAAGTTGATTTGAATTTTGGCTGAAACTTCCATTGTGGAAACAATCAGTATGCTGTTTGCGACCGTCATTCCTTCATGTGATCGCGATACCCACCGGACTAGCGCATTTCTTCTTCACCCTCACAGTATCTCCCCATCTTAATAAATTCGATTCTTAATAACGACCCCCCCCTTCAGTCTTACCCTCAATACGATCCCCTAGTCGGGCGCGCCCGTCCCCACGCTCAACCCTGCTTATAGATCTCGAGATACTTGTAGTTGTATTTTAATTTCCAACATCTTAACTGTTAATTCTTTAGGAGCGGGTAGATGAGGAACAACAACTGAATGTGATTAACAGCGGAGACGAAAGTGGTGATGAGATTATGAGGGAATCGACGACGTGATTGTCTATAGCCAGTTTCACAATACGGTGTTGCATTTTTGATTGTATCTTAGTTTGTATTCATAAAGGTCTCTCAAAACTTCTGCACTGTAGAAATATCTCGCACGCGCATCGGCTTCTGCTACTGTATAACTTATGGAATACCTGAGAATTTTATGGACAAAGTGTAGCAGAAATCGTCCGCCAACCTAATAATTCATCGTAAGCCATTCTGAATGTACGAAGATGGGGCATTCTATCAATATATAAACTTTGTATACACTATGCATCCGGTCTGCCAGTGTTTTGCAGGCATCTGGCACACTGCCAAATCGCGCGGCGACTGAAATCGCGTGTAGCATGTTGCGTCTGCACAGGGCGCTGAGTTGTGGACTCAGGTGACAGCTTTTCTCTGGTGCATTATCTCGCCGTTCTTTCCAGACACGAACCGTCTGCGATGGACGCAACAGCGTTGTCCGCCCACAATGTGGACGACCTATAACCTTTGATACAACTGGCTTGGCGGCTGGAAGGCGGGGCTTGGTGACTTAATTAAGGCCACTCGCGCCCGGACGCAGTCTGCGCCTCTGTCGCGCGCTTGCTCCCTGATCATTGTTTAGCCTCAAAGGCAGTGTCCCGGCAGATTCGCGCCCTGGGAAATATTGCTATGATGGGGTTCCTGGTCATCCCGCTGACCTCCAGGCGCAGTCCGGCTGGTTGATGTTCTTCCTGGACCGAGAAAATAGCCCTTGAACCGGAACGGCAACTCCAATCGGCGCGCGCTTGGACGACTTCGCTTATCGTTCGGCGCGGGACCTCAAGACCGCTCCCCCGCATTGTGCATGCTATCGAAAGCAAAAATTACAGGCAGTAAGGTCTTTGTGCCAAGGCCTCCGCGGTTTTCGTCGTTTTTTCCTCTTTTTTCCGCACTTCGATCAATTATGTGGTTTCTGCAAAATGCAAAAAATATGTCTTCTACATCATTTGATAGCTTTACAGAGTTCTTTGCAGCGGTGTAAAACTTTTGAAATTTTTATACATAATTTTTTGTTTTGATTTCTTACTCAGCACTTCGCACCTGCTTTCTTTTTTTATTTCAGCCCTCTCTGTGCAGTAAGAACTCCGTGCATCGTCATCATTTCATGTAGCCTGTGTCAATGATGTGCTTCTTTCCGATCATCTAAACGCAACGCTAGAGCTCCACGCGGCGTTCGCGAGTATACTGCTCGAGCGTTCGAATCTCCCCCTCGATCGGAGATTGTTGCGCAATGCTCGCGCCCTGTGAATGCGTGGTGCTACGAAAAGGGAGCATGTGATTGACACAGATTATACACGTTCGAAGAGCTCTTCAAGTTTCACGACAGAACAAGTTTTATGTTCCTATAGTTCAATGGGGACAAATTTATATGAGGAGAAATTCAAACCAATGGACTTACATATCTCTAGCCGCTCTTATTAGGCAATAAATCCCTTGGGAAAGATATCGCTGTATAGCACTTCAGTAAGGCAGGTGCTATACTCCTCGAGGAGTATAGCATGGCGACGATCGATATGCATCAAATACGTGCAAAACCAGCGATTTTTGTCGCCGATATTGGCGATCGCCAGTCGCCAAGCAAGTTACCGTTAAGTGTTGAATGTGAAAAAATGGTCTTGCAGTTCATTCTTTTTAGGGCGACCTCACCGGCTGGTGAGTACTTCAAAATGGAAGTGGAAAATGAGTAATGATCGCCAATATCGGCGACTACACGTTTGATACGTATCGATTAGCGACGGGCGATCGCCCGTCGCCATGCTATACTCCTCGAGGAGTATAGCACCTGCCTAAAATCACAGTAACAGTGGGATAGAAAAAATGCGCGAAGCCATGAGCTGGGTTTATGTGATGACAAGTGCACGCACAATTCCAGCGCGAGAATTACTGGACGTGTTCCAGCAGAACGAAAGCGGCATGAAGTGTCGGGGAAGGACAAATTTGAACTAAGGGTAGGGGTATATCTCCGCCAATTTGAGCCTCTTTCGCTGGCAGCAGGTCGTTTTGCAATGTTGTTGCATGTCGTTGAGGACTAGTAGTCCGGGGTGGCGGCCCAAACTGGCAAACTTTGTTTACTACCCTATTTTCACTACCTCTTTGCACATATCTATAGGCAATTTATCGCAGCAAAGGCTGTGGACGTATCGACATCTCTCCAAACAAGCGCTCTTTCGTTTCTTTTACCATCTGCTGTCTTTCTCAAACAGAGCTTTCTTGGCTGAACGCAATGGCGCCCAGTCTTTGCGGATTATGAATTGCCGATACATCTCGTACACCGTTCTTGATTTCTGCTCTTGCTGGTGTTAGAAGGATGCCCAGACTTGAAGTCGACACAAGTGGAGCTATGTTTTTGTCTATCCCTCAAAGTATCCATTTCTCGTGTGTCCTCTCGTTGTAAAACCGCTTTTCATCCATTCTTATCTTGTCCAGAAAGCAAGCACCCACGGTGGCCTGCTGCTAAAACAAGAAAGGATCGGCCACAGTTGCCGGCATTGTCGGGTTTCTTAGGACTTCATATTAGTCACTGTGCTGTGTCCCTTTTAAGGGATCGTTTGGCCATAGGTTGCAACTGGATCCAGGGTTGCCGAGGTTGCTTAGGCTGGGTACATACTGATTCCCATGTTCCGGAACTGTTCCCGCACAGTTCCCGCACTGTGCTGGAGCTATTCGGAACTATGCTGCATGCGCTGCAGCCCCCCTCACGTGTTTTGAACTGCGGGAGTTGAGGAATTTTGACCGTATTCAACGGTTTTTTCTTCCAGACTAGTGAACCAGTAATTGAAGGGCTAGATTGCATTCGCGTGGGACCGCACCGCGGTTTCCCCGCTATTTGCAGATTTTTAAATGGGCGTTACGATTCTTTATATTATTAGACTTCTCATTTTGGCCTTATTCCTCTACTGTAACGAATTTATGTTTTAAGGTTGTCCTTAAGCTATGAGTGGTACCGTAGCTGGACTTTTCAGTAACGCTTATAGTCGTCCTCACCCCACTAGTCGGTCGGTGGACGAATTTGAATTCGAACTGGAGCAGGCCGGCCGCGGCAGAGCGCGGCAGACCGCCCCTCAGCCAAGCGCTTGCACATAAGTTTTCCTCATATTTTCTTCGCATTTCTTTGCTATCTCTCGTATTGGCAATGGAAGAAATCAGATTTCAGATTTCGTCCGCTGACTCTTTGAAACAAACGCTTTTTGAGAGAATTTCAGCCCCATCGCAAAAACAAAATAGTTTAGAGTACACATTCTGACGAAAAACTTGACACAGTTCATCAAATCACATTTGTATGTATGTCACTTAGCGGTAGAGCGATTTCTCATCCAGAAATCTCTAATCGCATCCTTCTTCTCGGTTTACCTGGAAAAAATGTAAAACAAACGGTCACAAACTGCACAAAACAATAGTTAGCGGTACGAAGTCTAATAATCTGATTAGGAACATTGTCGCAATACGAGAGATAGCAAAGAAATAGCAAGAAAATAAAAGAAAATCTCATGTGCAAGCGGTTGGCTGAGGGGCGGTCTGCCGCGCTCTGCCGCGGCCGGCCTGCTCCAGTTCGAATTCAAATTCGGCCACCGACCGACTAGTGGGACGACTATACTTCCTATTCTCTTACCCGGCATTTTTAAAACTAAACTAGATTTCTTACTACGCATTTATCAGGCAGTTATAGACAAAACATAGGATATAAAGACATGGCGGCAGACAGCAAAACAGGGCGGAGTAATAGCATAAGGATTAGGTAAGGAATAAGATAGCGGATAGATATAGGTGGAGGATAGATAAGTTTGAGATAGAGGGTAGCCAAGCAGGAACTAGTGCTCCGGCCCAGTCTTACATAAACAAGGTAATATAATGGACGCGAATAAACACGAAGCAAATATACGAAGGAGAATAATATGGAATAAACATATGATTAGAGATCAAATAAAATAGAGGGCGGGTGATTAAAATGAGGGAGGGGGGGGGGGGGCGGGGATTCGGAGACGATCTTGTTGAAGGGGCAGCTGCGAAGCTGCCTAAAGTCCGAACCTCTCTGTGGGCGGAACATATTGTTTTATATAGCCCTGAGGGGCCCTGAGGCGGGTAGAGGGAGATGGACCAACAGCGCTAATATTTCGCGCTTTTCCTACACTACCCCGCTTTCCTTTTTGCTCAGCAGAACTTCGAACTCGAAGCGGGGTTTAATAATGAGCGCTTTTCTGCTCTGTGAATGCGACAAAAAGTATGTCCTTATGCTCATGCATTTTCTCTTCGCTTGATTTTTACGCAGACCTACTACTCTAACTGTCCCAGAAAACCGCTGCTAGTTTCCATAGCCATCTGCCACGAATTATGGAGTGCGGGCAATTCTGAAATTGCATAAATTGGGACTTCTCTCTTGTTTTCTGATAGTTTCGTTTTTGGGCATTCTCAGTCCCTTTCCTTTTTCCAAACCTATGCTTCCCCGTTCTTTCTTCCCCCGCTTCTCCTTATGATGAGAAAAGCTGTGAACTTGAAGCGGGTTGAGGATTGGACGATGTTCTGCTTCATGTATCCAGGAAGATGGATCTTCCTGCGCTCGATCATCTTCTCTTCCATTTTTTTTAGGCCTACTTCATGTTTTCTAGAGCCCTGTCTATGTCCCTTTCAATACAGATGCGAGACTATGCAACGGCTTCCTGGAACAAATGGAATACGTCTGAGTCAAAATAAAGCGAAAAGAAAATGGACGAGCACGATAGCACACGTTTTGTCGCATACGCAGTGAAAAGCGCTCATTCTTCAAGTCCGGTTCGAGTTCGAAGTTCGCTGAGCAGAAGAGGAAGCGGGATAGAGATATAAGGCCAGAATGAGAGAAATCTGGAAGAAAGACAGTTGAAAACGGTCAAAATTCTTCAACTCCCGCCGTTCAAAACGCTTGCGGGACGGCTGCAGCGCATGCAGCACAGTTCCGGAACAGTTCCAGCACAGTGCGGGAACTGTCACCGGAACATGGGAATCAGTATGAACCAGTCATAAGTCGCCGAATGTAGGAGGGTCCCGCGGGAACTTTTTGCAAAAACGCACCTCCATGCATGTGAAG